CTCTTCCTTCCATCCTTCCATCCTTCCATCCTTCCTATCCCCGTCCCCATCCCCATCCCTTCCCTGCCGTTTCCTTTCCCCCGCATCCCTTCCCTTCCCAATTGGATCCCTTCCCTTCCCTTGCCTTGCCTTGGCTTGCTTTCTCGTTTCCTTGCCGCCTCCCTTCCTTGTTACGCTTGCCATACAGAAACGCAGATCAGGATGCGCGCAAACAAACAGAAAAATGCAGAAAGCAGAAAAGCGAAACTGCAAAGAGCAGAAAACGTGGGAACTAACAGCAGAAGGCCACACCCAACTTCCTCTTCAAGCTGTTGAAACTCAGAGATCGAGTCTGAGTTCCAATTTGTGGACCATCACCATCACCACCCCCACCATTACCATCACCATCACTTTCACCACCACCATCCAACACTATCGCTGCCCCCGCCTCCACCACCATCACCAAGATCACCATTTCCCACCACCATCATCACCATTTCCACCACCGCCACCACCACCACCGTTTTTACCACCACTGTCTTCACCATCACCGTCTTCGCCACCACCGTCTTCTTCACCACCGCGCCCACCAGCCACCACCCACCACCACCCAACCACCAACCACCTACCAACCACGCACGACCACCGCCCAACTTGCATTTTTCCAGAAATGTTCGTTCCAGATTTGGGATGCTAGTGTTTGGCTCTTTTGTGTTTTCCATTGCTGTTGAGTAGACCATTCATTCCCAGCCCGGCGCCCTACTGGAAATACTTCATCATAGTCTGATAGCACCGAAGACACCTTCTTGGCTTCCTTCAACTTTGAGCGCCAGTCCTCCAAAGCGAAGCGCTTCAGCATTTCTTTCACCTTTCCATCCTGCTGCTTCATGGACTCATAGACATGCACGCGGCCTCTGACTGCCAGCTCAATCTCCTCGTTGTCTCTGTCATCACCTCTCCTTTCTTCTAGAATAGTCTCCTCGCCCTCTTCTTTTCTGACATGTTCTGCTGTTGCAACGGACAATCCGAAGCAAATCGCTCAATGATTTCACGGTTTCTCCACCACGGGGTCGCGCATGCAAACCGAGACGGCTTGGCACTGCTTTGGATTAGTTGTCCTTGAGCGTCAACCATCTGCGCTGCTTGGTTTCCAGATTGTAGTACCCCTCAACCGCCGCTGAGACGTCAGCGCCTGAGTCAATTAAGGGTCACGATCACCGTCGCGGCTCGAGGGCCATGACATTCCTGATCACGCATATCTTCAACGGCTCCTCAAACTCATTTTCACAATTGGCTCCATCGAAATTGTTTCCTGTACATTCAATACGCGACGTTCATGATTCAAAGAACTCCTCATTCTCGTTCTTTGGGTTGTCCTGCGCATGCTCCGTTGTGATCTGCGCTGCAAACAACAATGTCTACTGCACTGTTTAATTTAATGCAACGCGACGGCTGTCCTCTGTTGCACTGCGCCTGCTCCGCGCTGCGCCTCTTGCAGTCTGTTTGCGCCGTCCTCTGCTCTGCACTCTTCTCCCATCGCCCTGATGGCCATAAGATTGTGACCACATTCTCATCTCCTGAGTCATCTGCTTCCTCAACTGAATCGTTCTGAGTCAAGTCAAAGATTTCCATGGCTGCCAATCGTCGGTGTGACCAAAGCAACCCTCCTGACACTGACTCGCTAACTGTGTGGGCTGGATGCCCAGTTGACTCCACTGACTGGCTCTTGTTGTTGCGGTCTTCGCCCCATTGCCTTCGCCTTCTTCTCACCTTCTGCGCGCGCTTTGGTGCCCCACAAGCAAATCGCCCTGGCTTTCCGCAGCTGTGAAACGCAGAAGCCGGACCCTTTATTATTTAGAGGCTTGCGCCTGATGGACTGTCCTGTAGAGGTTGACTCTGACCAGCCCAGACACTTCTTGCAAGCCAGACGCGTCTCTTCGCAACCCCACAGACTGACGCTGTAAAACACATGGTTTCCGCACAGGTTCACTCCAAACGCTTCTCTCCGCAACCCCGAAACTCTGTCAAACACATGGTTTTCGGACATGTCCGCTCCAGACACTTCTCTCCGCAACCCCGAAAACACCGTAAAACACATCGTTTTCGGACATGTTCAGTCCGTGTTTATTCTCCTCCGGTAGAAGAAAAAGAGCCAGAGCCAGCAAAAGAACAACATGCTAATAATGCAAGGCCACTCGGGCAGCATATCTCGCACCACGGGCCTTCGAAAACGACCTCACATCCATCACCATATCCATGTTGCCACACGTTGGCCCACGTTACGTCGCGTCGCCAGGGTTGTTGCCCTGCGTTGCCAGGGTGACGGGGGGGAGGTCGGGCGGAGGTGGGTCGACGGCAGGGGCGCGCCCGTCAGTTCCCTTCGGTAACCACCGAAGGCCTCCGGCTAGGACACGGGCTGGCCCGGTGGCCGGCGCCCGGACTTTCTCCCGTTGGGATTTGCCTGCGGGCTTTCCACCTTAACCTTCTCGATGCCATCCTTCGACCAAGAACCTTTTCCTTTGGAAGGTTTCCCTTTCTGGCTTTTCTTCCCTTTCTTACCGCCCTGCTTTCCACCATGCTTGGACGATATAGCATCAACTTTGTCGTCCTCTTTTTGAGCTAGCATCCTCCTTCAAGCGTACTTGTGACTGACGCGCTCAAACAACTCGACCCGCTGCCTCAGACCCTCACACGGAGCGCGCAGGCTCATTGCGCGTGAACCCTCCAATGAGCTGAAAAAATCCCGCTCTATCTAAAATCAATATCCTAGCTTCAAATCGCAGCAATTCCAAGCGGTGGCTTTCATGTAGACGACATCTGCTCAGGTTGTATGTTGCGCGCGCCCCTTTCATGGCTGCATTCTGACTTACAGGTCATACGGCTCCAAATGTGAAACTGAAAGTAGCAGTCCTCTTATAAGCAAGTTGCCTATGAGAGATGATTTCCTATCGTTCTTCTCTTTATTCGCGCATACAAAAACCCCACCTTTTCACTCACTCTCATAACCCCACTTGTGTATGTCTCTAGTGTATTGAGTAGTGGCCCTGGTAAGCAGATGGCCCAAGTGGTCAAGTGGTCTAGCGCGCATCTAGCGCGGGTCTAGCGCGGATCTAGCGCGCTCCCTTGCCAGTGCGTCAGGCCACCAAACGGCTGTCATCAAAAGCATGCGTTGCGGTCTGCCATGCTTTCCTAGCTTTGAAAGGTTGCGCAATAGCTGTTCCACGCACAAAGAATCCGAAACACAATGGGAGCATGCCCGCAGTGGATGGGTGTCGGTGGCCCCTGCTTACATAAACCAATCACAGCCAAAACGGCCAGGTTGCCCGTTCTTACTTCAACAAATTTAATTGCCAATGTGTGTATGTGTTGTTTGTTGATCTTGCCTAAGTTTTTCCTTGAACCTGGCGCCAAACCTAGCGCAACCCTGCGTTTTGCTAGCGCGACAAGGTGGCATCTCCAAGTTAAGCACCAGAATACCAAGCGGTGGCCAAGCTATTTCTGAACCTCTATACTATCGGACTGGAAGTTAGAATGCCGTTTTAAAAAATCTACAAGGCAAAGGTTTGACACTAGGAACCCCCAAAAATGACCCCCCATTCTAAGTTTTCCTAGTGTCATAGTGTTAGAATGCCCGCGTATTGAGGCATAATGTTGGAAGGGTGCCCTAATTTTCTACATTTGATTCAGATAGAATGCCACACAAAATGGACACGCCGACATTAAATTATAGAAAAACATGTTGCTTGGGTTGGAAATATTTTGCATTAGCCTGCATAGATGGTTCAGATAGAATGCAGAGAAAAATACAGATGAACATGTTCATTTTGGGAACTTTTGTCCCCAAATATCCATTTTACAGTGATATCCAGAATCCTCAATTTCCGTAGCATGTTTATTCTCATTTTTCATGTTGTGTATATAGTCTTTTTTTGAGGAAAATATATATGCATCCTGAGGATCGTCCTTGGCAGAGACAGCGTCCAGGAGGCAGAAGCCACGGTGGCCGACTTGTGATCCGTTTCGTGCATGGTTCAACTTCAACTTTCCTTGTTGCTCAAAGTTTGCGGCATTCTATGTATGCCTTGGGCAGTGTGTATTGGGCAATTGCGTATGCATCAAATATCCCAGACTGTATATATATATACACAGCATATTTATATAACAGTGATATCCAGAATCCTCAATTTCCGTAGCATGTTTATTCTCATTTTTCATGTTGTGTAGCTGTTTTTTCGAAGAAAAATATATGTATATATATAATGCAGGACAATGGCAATGGACCCCCCAATTCACTGCCCAGCTAATTGGTCAAAATGACCTGAATTTGGGGGTTGCTGGCGTTTGAATGGCCCGGCGCGGATCTTGACAAGATCTTCTGGAGCGGATCTGACAAGATCACAGCTTAGATTGGGGACTGGCCTACCTGGCCAAAAGACACAAACACAGGATGACGCGGGAAAAAGGTCTTGGATGCACTACTTCTCTTTGTGTCAAAAGACTTCCCAAACCTTTAATGGACTGGAAGATAGATTGCCGCATCCCCATTATATATATAAACATACTGGGAGGCATTCTATGTTTCTACCTAGTGCCAAAGCATTCTAACTCATTGCGATGAAATTTAAAAAAAGTCGACATTCTATCTTCCAGTCCGATAGTATAACTTTCCTTAACCTTACATTTTTCAACTCATAAATTGAGAGGCAACGCAGCAACAACGGAGGCGATCTTGAGGCCATTGGGTATGTGATCTTTCGCGTTCCCTGACACGCTCGCGTTGGAACCGCCAATCCAACCAACCACTTCCCAAGCTCCTCTGCTCTGCTCTCTCGAGTAAAGGCTGTGGTTACAGCCCTTGTTTGGGCATAGATATGTCAGTGACAAAAGAACATGCGCGCTCGCCATGGACCGTCCTGTGGGAATTCACTGCGGTCTATAAGAAACACTTTTAAACCCCTCGCAACGTTCATTGAAAAATCTACACTTGACACCTACACATGCTTCTTTCGGTTTTCTCTGGCCTTGAGAACTGCAGCCACACAGGCTACGATATAGTACCCCACGGCGCAGATGACCATCTGCGCATCTAAACAGCAACGTCCGCTGTCCATTACAAAACTGACCCTTTTACTTTGCAGCGTCAACCTGCGCTCACCGGTGAAGACTAGACGCCATTCAAACGCAAAATGGCGCTTAGCAGCTATCATTTGCAAACACATGTGTCACAGCAGTTCACGCAGCCGCTTGCAAGGAGCCTCAGCAGCGATGGCACCCAGCGGCGCCACCAGAATACTCCATTCCTCAAAGAACGAAGCGTCAAGTCTCCACAGCTCCGCAAGCGATGGCTGCCACAATCGCACGTCTCCTCTTAGACGACGAATAAGACTATATACCTTGCGCGCGCGATGAACTAGGTGGCCATCGCACGCCAACTTCCCTACAGTTTGCAGAGCGTTCATTTCTACAATTTGATTCTGCTCTTCTGGGTGGCCGCCAAGCAAAACAAATCCAGCGGAAAATACTTGTATATATTGCCAAGAACCTACGACGGGCGCAGCGTTCACCGTGCTCGCCTCGGGCTCAAAGCCTGCAGGCGTTCAAACACATGGCCCGCCTTGCGTGACCATGGTTCTGACCTTGGTGCCACGCGTCCCTAGTTCTTTTCGTGGGGAAACCTGGGTTCCACAAGGAGGCAATCAGATTCCCATCATATGAGGTGGAGAGGAAGACATCCACAATGAGATCGAGGAGATGCGCGCCGCCGAGATCACTGCTTGGCCCTCGGCGCAACAACCAACCATTGCAAGCCCTTGATGGGAAGCTGACACTGAACATTGCACCAGAGATGTTCCTGCGCGCGCGTGAAGGTGCTTACAGCGGGATCGCGTGTGGCAGCTTGCGCACGTTGATCGCGCACCGAGCAGTGGGTCGAAGTGAACATCAAAGGAAGGAATGGTCGAGTGACTTTGCACAGGATCCAAGTTCCATTGCGCTGGAGCGATTGTCGATCGTTGACCAGGACACTCCTGGACAATGTTGAAAAGCCCCGTCTCATCACAATGGTCTTCAATTGCGACCCACGGCCACCGCTGAGCACTTTCTTGAAGGAAGATGAGAGAGAAGCTTCGCAGGAGGACGCCTCAAAGAGCAGGTTAACGGCGTTATCTTCTTCATAATCCACTTGCAAGCCAAGGCTGGAAGCATTGTACGCAGTGAGGGTGGACCAGCGTGCAACCAACTTTAAGGGTGTGGAAAACCACTTCAAGCCAACCAAATGTGCGATCTCATCCCCAGTGACAGCGGCCAAGCTGCGCCTGCGTTGCTAAGAGATCATCAACATGGAGCTGTTCAAGGAAGAGGCCATAGTGGGAAAATGGACACCAGAGCTTGGCGACTTGATTGTGGCATTCAAAGGCAAAGTCTCTTGGGCGAAGAGTGCGGAGAGGCATTATGAGCTTGAGGAGTCCGCAATCGTCCGCAATGCTTTGAGGAGGACCTCCGGAAATTCAATCGTGGGACTTTTGGTTGAGAAGAGCCACGCTAGCACAGCAAGGCAGTCCCCTTTGGGGCCCATTTCTTGATCACATGCCATCGCACAGAATTGAACCACAAACCTATCGACAATGGCCCACACAACTTGAGAAGAGCCATTGCAGAAGAGGGTGACCTTCTCATGGGCGATGATGAAGATAGGTGCCCAAGGGAGGTATGATGACGCAGCGTTGTACAAGCAGATCACCATTGTTGCTGCATGCTTTGACTCTGGTTTCCACAATTCTTGCAACAAAGGCAACAGCCGTTCCACAGTATTCAGAACGCCTATCACTAGCGCTGGCCTTCATCATTGCTATGTTCCTGTTTGCGCCGCACTAGATGTTAGAGCATTCGGCGATCATTATGAATGTCATTGGAAGGGAAGGCAGGAAAGGATAGGAGCAAGCGCAAGCAAGTCGTGCTCCAACAAGAGGCGAGGTGGCAGAAGAAACAAACACAACAATGAGGCAAATCGATCGCATGATCCGCAAGATGACGGTGGTAGGCAAAGATCAAGAGATATTGTAAGTGAAAAGACATTCATGATCTTTCACGCGGTGTCAGATTGCCACAGAGCGTCTCTTGAAGTGCAAGCAGAGCGCAAAGATGCCATCCGCTGGGCTAGGGCCCTGTTGGGAGGCTGTTGGATCCAAGCAGACCCCGCGCCTGCGCTTGCCAATGTCCCATGAAGTCGGGATTGTCAGTGTTTGTACGGAAGCTGTGCTCCGGTGGAACGAAGATGTCGCTCAATGGGCAGACACAGAGTCCCACACAGCCTTTCACCCTGAAAACCCTCAAGCTCTGAGGATGTCACCTCTGACTGGAGCGCCTTCAAAATCGGGCCTTTTGTGTTGCAGCCTTTCGCGTGCCCAATCGCATCGTCCTCTGCTGCTTACATGAAAAGCACTCCTGCAGCTAGCGTAGGGGGATTGAGATGGGCCAGGTCACGCGCGAGCCTGAGCTCACGCCAAAATCCCTTGGCCACAAGCTCCGCGCATCGAGTGATAGCAAGCACGTTCTATATTGTCTAATTACATGATATATTCTATACTTATTTATAGCCGGCCTACGCTCCCTATCAGGTAGTATCCTACCCAGAGTCCTCGGTCACGCAGTCGCCGGCAGCTTCCAGGCAGTCAGAAGCTTTCTTGATCGTCTCTTTGTACGCCGAGGTCTGGCATGCCAAATCATCAAAATACACCAAACGCCGGCCTGCACCCTGTGTTTTGCATGGTAGCAAATTTGCACTTCGTGAAGAACACAATTAAATTGCAAGTGTTCCAAAGTCTAAAGGTCCAAGGACGAGCGTAAACTTGTTTGAACTGGCCAGAGGTTCAGCAATCAGCTTTTCTAGTTCTGGTAGCGTCGGGATCTGTCCCTGGCTAATCCGCTGGTCCCTGCTGCTAGCAGTTGTATAGAAGCATTGATATACATGGCCTAATCAAAGCACACGAATTCCAGCGGAAGCTGATTCCTGCTTTCATCGAAAAAAGGGTTCCCAATCCCTGTCTGAAGATCAACCGTTTGCAGATATCAAAAAGTCAACAGGAAGAAATCACACGCCTAAGTTTCAGTGTCAATCAATTGGGAAATAGTTTGACTTTCAGACTGCTGCTGCATACACAAAGCCTGCAGATGTTCTGCGTCCCTTTAGATTCAACTTTAGATCCTTGCTTAGCCTCTTCTGGTGTTATACTCGGCTCGTGGAATTCTGACCTGAAACCCTGTCTCCAAACCTGAATAGAACTCGGGTAAATCATGAGCTCCAAACACCTTTTCCAAGAGGTAGTACCCTAGCCCAGGGCAAGTTAACCATACTGATTATTGCTTAGGCGGTTGGAATAGTGCGCAAACTTGGGGCCCTCGAAAATGTGTCTTAGCTTAATTAGTGTTCTTTATTCTGCTGTTGCTTCCCTCGGCATCCTGACCTGAAAACCTTTTTGATGTTTTTAACACCTTGTAAAACCCAGCGAAATCATCGCCCCGAGCGCAAACCCAGGGCAAGTCAACTATGTGAAGTTTTGCGGGGCGAGGGAATGGTGGAGTTGTGAGAAAGATGTTAGCTGAGCTCGGTGTTCTTTTATTGCTATTGCTGCTGCCCCTCAAACCACCACCAAATCTTAGCTGAGATCTTCTGCTATTGCTGCCCTTTCAAACCCTTGCTTAAGCTCTTCTGTGGTTTTGCTTGGCTCCTGGAACCCTGACCTCAAAACTTGCACTCTGTAAAACTCATCGAAGCCATTGATCCGCACAATTTTTCAAGGGCCGTACGCAAGTTCAGGAGAAAACTAATTGTGTGGAAAAAGTATCTTTGGTTGGTCTTCTCTGGTTCTGCTACTGCTGCCCTTTCAGACCCTTGCTCGAATCTAAACTGAACATATTTTTCTACTGATCAGCTGACAGCTGAGCACAGGAAGCTGCTGCTACTGCTAGACTGCTACTATTCCTCCTCCTACTACTGTTACCACTACCACTACCACTACCACTAGCACTACCGCTACCACCATACGACCACCGCCACCACCACTACTACTGCTCCTCCCCCACTCCTACTGCTTCTGCTACTCCTACCTACTCCTGCTGCTGCTGTTGCGGCGGCTCCTGCTGCTGCCGCTGCTGCTACCGCTACCGTTACCGCCACCGCTACCGCTACCAAGACGCCACGACGACCACTGCTATTGCTGCTGCCCCCATACCACCACCACGACTATGCCACAACTATGATTACTATGTAGGAGAATAGTTTTGGTGAGGCTGAGGCTGTCTCAATTCCCTCTTCCCCAATTGTTTGCTAAACAGTGGGCGGGGCTTCGTTTATGGTCCAACCTTAACGGGATAACTTGAACGCAGAGGTTCGCTGAGGGTGGATACAAAATGTAAGGGGCGCTCCGCTCCTGTGGAACAAGGGTCTATCCGCAACCCAGGCACGTGGAAAAGAGTCCTCAGGCGGTTCCAAACGCCGGTCCAAGGCGTCCCAGCTTCAAAGCTGCAACGCAGAAGCGGACAAGTTTCAGACAGAAAACTCCACCTCACCATTAGCCAAAATCTAAGTAGAGCTCGTTTCCAGAGGCGGTTCTGATTGGAGGCAAGCTTAGCTTGAGAATTCCATTGGTTGGTGATTGCGGCAAAGGTGTGGGCTCTGAGATCAGGTGGGGCGGAAAGCCACGCTGATCTGGCACGGGTCAGGCGGGGGCTGGCGGTGGCCCAGCTTGTGTGGCGAAGAGCTTGTGATGCTCTCGTGTTTTGCTTCTGGAACTGAGACCAGGTGTGTGCCCTCCAACCTTCGCGGAGAGTATGCAGCGTGGTCGGCCACTGCTCCGGATCCATCACGACCTTGGTGTGTTGTGGTGGCGGCGGATGGTTGGGATCCAAAGTGAGGAGGATCTTTGCTGCTGAGTGTGTGAATGTCCATGGTCCTGTTGTGGTCCAGCCAGTGCGCTGGAGCCAGCGTATGGTTACGCCGATTGGTCCTTGGGACTGTTTGGCGCTCCATCGGGCTCGGATGAGTGGGTCTGAAGCAGCTGCTCGGAGCGTCTGGATGGTTGCCGTGGATCCAGCGCGGAAGAAGACATCCGCAGAATGTCCTAGGAGCAGTCTTGTCAGTGGAGCGGCATTGCTTTTGGCTGCGGTGTAAACAGCTTGGCGGAGAGGTTGAAGATCCGTCTGGGCGGGCAATCGAGAGAATGTAGCAGCCGCTACTTTTGCAATGCCTGTGGCTTTGGCGAAGAAAAGACGGTCCATATGTGGATGGGGCAGACTACGAGTCCATCGGGTGACCTGGAGCGCTTGTTTGATTGCAGCTTCTTCCTGTGGAGCGGCTCCGGCATGTGCCCTGGTGAGCTGGATGTGAGCGCCGAGGACTTTGGGACGGGTCTTGATGCTACCAGGAGTGCCCGTGTCCTGGACAATGTTGGTCAAGATCTGCTGTGGTTGGCGGCCGCCAAATGCGGCATAATCTCGCTTGGATTGGTGTTCAGTGAGGCCCCAGGATGTGACCTCAGCGGTCCATGCTCGGCCGATTTGGGCGCACTCATCAGCAATGGTGGAGGCCCAAGTGCGGTCGTCCAAGTGGCACGTGTGAATGCTGCGCGGGAACTGGTGCTGAATTCGGCGGAGAGATTCGCTTAAGGCAGCCATGAGCCCCAAAGGTGATGCCGGATCACCCTGTGGCAGGACCTGGGGATTGGTGGTCGGTCTGCTGTATGTGGTCCGGCGAGTAGCCATCGCCTTTGGTTGGTCCAGGCGGCCCGCAAGGGCTGGAGAACTTGGTGTGGGAGTTGCATACGCTCAAGGGCATCAATGGCTTTCCGGGCCGCAAGACGGTCAAAAGCTTTGCTCAGGTCAGCCGAGCCCAAGAACTGTTTACCGCCTGGAACGGGACTGGTGAGTTGATGTTCGAAACTTGTCAGAAATGGTATGAGAGCGGTGTGGATGCCTCTTCCTGGAATACCGCCGTGTTGGGCGGAAGGGAGGGTGGTGGTGATCCAGACAGGAAGCGATGCTGATTGGTCGGGTGTTATCAAGCTCTGCAGGTTTGCTGGGCTTGATAAAGTGGCATTGGCGCCAGGCTGTGAGAGGCGTGGGCCAAACAGGTCGATCGGAGCATTCAATGTGGTGATAAACAGCCGCAACGGCTTGGAGATATCCCTCCGGGGCATGTTGGATTTCGGATGGAAACCAACCGTCGATACCAGCGGCTTTGGTGGCTTGTTTCCTGGCCGCGCTTCGTATATCGGAAGGAGTGACGTCCGGCAATGGAGGTGGTGGTAAAGGGGGCCAGGGCTGGTGTTGAGCCATCTGAGCAAGTGCCTGGTCCTGGAGGTCTGGTTCGGGTGAAGGCCAGATGTCGTGCCAGAAGTTGCCGAGTGCTTGGATGACCCGGTCGCCGGTCAAGATGTCGTCATTTTGACGGCAAGCGGTGAATGGGCGGTTCTGTTTGCCGCGGGCAAGCCAGTGCCAGACCCGTTGATGGCTACTGCGGAGTTTTTGTCGCCACTGTCGAAGTCGGGTCTGTTGGATGGTGTCCTCATCCGTGCTGATCTGTGTGTTGAGCCAGTCTCGAAAGGACTGGATGTCGCTGTGTCTCAGCGGATGGTATGGGCACGAGAGCGCCCTGGCGGTGGATTGCAGGTGTCGGGCAAGTTGGTGGGTGGCCTGGGTAGGCTGGCCGTGTTGGTGATGTCCCCAATATTCTGAATGGCGACGCCACAGTCGGCGAAGTCGGGCCAAACGGACATTGTGGATGTCCTTGGGATCAGCCTGATGATGGCGGATGTGGAGGCAAGTCTTGGGGATTGTGCCCTTGAGTTTGTTGCGAGGCTGGTGGGGTGCATCCTGGCGGTCAGAATAGGCCTCTTGGTGGGCTTTCTGGAAAGCACGGCTGAGTCGATGTTGGAGGGCCTGCCAGTACGTGTCGATTTGGCTGTTTTGGAGATCGTCTGGAATGGGGCCGGGTGTGTGCTCCCAATGTTTGGTCACCAGGTCCTGCCAATCTTGATCAGTCAGATGGGCTGGGCGGTCATATCGTGGGCGTGGTTCGAATCTTCGTGTGGGTTCCGAGGATATCTGTGTGTGCAGAGTATATTCAAGAAGCTTGTGGTCAGCGTACTTCCGGTGGCTCAGGCGTGGGATGGCCTGCTGGTTTCTCTGGATACTCCAGTCGATGCAGCGTTCCCCATTCCACCTAGTAGGTAAGGATGGAGGAAGATGGTGCTGCTGAGAGTCTGGGCTGTGCTCAGGTGCATCAGGATCGTGCTCGGTTGGATAATGGATGGCGGCCTGCAGAGAGCCCGCCCAAAGGTGGAGGGGATCATCTTCAGGTTCTGTGTTCCAATCGCCGCCGGCGAACCAGGTTGCTGCCCCTAAGGTGCTGAGGTGGTTGAACAGGTCTTCGTTCCACTGTTGTTGCTTATGCTGAGAAAGTCCAGGTCGGCGATAAACAGAGAAAATGTGGATGCCTTGCATGGCGATGTGGAGCCATTCGCCATCGGGGGACTGGTGTCCTTTGGCGCGTACAGCTGGGAGTCCCTTTCGGACAGCCACTGCAACTCCACCATCTGGTGTGTCATTAGGGCCTGGGACTCGCATGGAGGCTTGGTGGAAAAACTGCCAGTGTCGACTGTTCATGGCGATCTGCTGGGCAGTGAATTCTGCCAGTCGGGTTTCTTGGAGAAGAACGACATGGATGCCAAGAGTGAGAGCATTCTTGGAGGATGCTAGATCGCTTGTGGAAACTGCGAACATTGCACTGCCATAGTCGAACGCCGGTGTGTGGAGGTCGGTGGCGGGACCTATGATGGCGGCTTGGGCCGGGATTGGGTTCAATACCTTGTTTGGTAAGGTCTGTCTTATGTTTTGAGCGTTTCGCCAACTTGGAGGGCGTTGTGCGAGACGCGGTGCTCCGACATGATGCTCCCCGACCCTTCGCTGTTGCAGTCGCGGCACGAGTCGGTGCGCGCTGCACTGAGGACCGCGAGGCGGGCAAAGGAGGCGAAGTCGAAGTCGGATTGGAAGTCGCAGGCTTGATTTTGTTAAGTCGCGGAGGAACAGTGGGAATGAAAACACTGGTTCCATTGACTGCTCCGCTAGCAGCGCGGGCATTGGTGGTGATTGCATATTTCTGTCTCCATTTGGTGCGCATTGCTGCGAGCTCTTGCCGGTACCGGGTGCGGTCAGCTTTGTCCTTGGCTGAACCAACGCATGGAGGGCGTTTCCTTTTTTGGCTCAGCTTTTGACAGAGTTTCTGCTCCCATTGGGCGAGAGTATCTGGGCGCATGTCCAGTTTGGATGCCAACAAGGTTTTCTGGTCAAGTGTCAACCTTGCCCACCATTTGGCGCGGTTGGCGGGGGGTTGGTCAGGATTGCGTTGGTACTGATGCATCTTGGCCGTGGAACCTTTGGCAAGGCATTGTTTGCAGATCCATGTGGTGCCTTGGGGCATGCAGCTGTGGAGATCTACCGTATGGATGTGGACCAACTCATGTTGATCCTTAGGCTGTACTAATGCTTGCATTTGCTTTGCTCGAAGCTGGCATCGCAAGGTGGTGCTGCTGCGTGGTGTGGGAAACTTGCTCATGGTTTGATGCACCGTCTTCAGGTGTTTCTGCTTGTAGTAGTTCCCGTTGTTGTGGCCTTTTACGCGAATGCTTTCCTGGCATACTGGGCATTCCCAGTTGTACCACCCCGCAGTGTGGGGGCGGGCTGCATCTCTTCGTCGAATTTTGGCGGGTGGAAAGTCCTTCTGAACTGGTGGAGGCACATGCTCCTGTTGTTGGAATTTCTGCAGTGTGGCAGATGAGAGGAGAGGTGTATCATCCGGGGCTAAAGGACTACTTAAGATCGGACTATTAAGTGGGTGGGAGAGCTGCTGTTGTTGTACACACTGGAGGGGCACCGACCCCGGGTTTGGTTGGGGCACCGACCCCGCGCGGGAACGCTCACCCCTTCCTTCTTCGGTCCGTTCAGAGTGAAGCTCACCCCCTTCTTCGGTCAAACGTTCCGAGTTGAATTGGGGCGCCAACCCCACCTGAAAGCGCTCACCCTTTCCTTCTTCGGTCCGTTCAGAGTAATGCTCACCCACTTCTTCGGTCAATTGTTCTGAGTTGAGCTGGGGCACCGACCCCTGGTTCTGCTGTGTATGGGGCACCGACCCCGTGGTATGGTGAGTGGGGGCTGGTGAGTGGCTGTGCATGGTGTGAACTGAAGGTGTGCCTGGCAGGGGGGCTGGGTGTGCGCGTGTCCTGTCCACTCTCTCCCGACCGGGTGAAGCAGTCCCCATTCCGTCAGGATAGGGCTGCTCTGAGCGCGAGCAAGTCGGCAAGGAGGCGTGGGCCAGGGAGGGCGCTGCCGTGTGGGGGGGGTGGGGCGCACGTTCCCGGAGATCCTTCACCCGACCCAACGAAGCGGTCGCAGCTCGATCACGAGCGCGCCGCTCTGACGACGAGGAGGCGGGCAAGGTGGAGGTCACCGGGGGGAGTGCTGCCGTGCGGTGTGGGGGTTCAACGGGAGTGAACCAGATGTGTAAAGTACGCGGTGCGCTCACTGTGGTGCTAGTGCGAGGTGAGCGGGCGCGTGCTCGGGCAGCAGTGCCCGGTGTGGCTGGAAGCTGTCTGGTAAGTGTAGAATCTAGAATGGTGTATTACCAAACTGTGTACCGACGGCGTCCGTGAAGAAGAAGACGATTACGGAGGACCGGTTGCTTTGGGACCGTTACCTGTCAGGTCGATGAGCAGTGTTTGATTTTCTGCCAACCAACTGCGCGGAACTGACTGGTCTGGTGGCGGGCAAAGACTGGTGTAGTGACTGTCCTTGAGCACTAAGACAACTGGTTTCTCCTTTTTTGCCAATGCAGCATAGTGGCGGCGGTCATATTTGTTGGCAAAGGTGTATCTCTCCCAACCTGTGGCGGTGTGCTTCCAAATGACGATTGCTAAACCTTTGCGTTCAGCGAGGGCTTGGATGCTGAGACCGCACGCCCATGTCTTTGGATCGCTGTGATTGGTGATCCATTCGTCAATGCTATTAGCAGCAGGTCTGCCATTGTGTTGATGTGCTGTTGCTTGGGTATCTGGTGCGAAGTGCTGCGATAAGCGGTCTTTGCGCTTATGGCAGTGTAGAATCATTTCTGTTCGCAATTGGGCGGCTTCCCGTTTTGCCGCTGGAATGTCAAGGGGATCTCCGTGCAGATTCCAATGCCGTGAGCAGGCGATGGCTCGGTAGAAGCAGTCGCCGTCACCATTTTCATCAATGTGGTGCCATCCTGCCTTTTGGGCGTCATCAGGATCACCCAAAATGTGTCTAGTGTTGCCAGGTGCTGTTCGGCTGGTCGGAAGAGGAGGTGATGTGCCTGTCTTTGGTGCTGCTGGAGCTGCAGCAGAATTGCCAGTGGCTTCGCCATTGGGTTCATCTTCGTCGTCTTTGTCAATCTGTGTGGGCGCTTGGCCGGGGCTGGGGCTCTTGCTCCGAGAACGTTTGGCTCGACTAGCGGAGTCGACCTCCATGCGGTCTGTGTCGGCTTTTTCTTCTGTTTTCGAAGATGGTGGTTGCCAAAGATTGCTGGGTGCTTTGAGCACTTGAGAAGTATTTGGCTTTCTTGGTTTTGAAGGTACCAAGAGTAGTCTGATATGGATCATGTTATCTTTGTCTTCGTATGTCCAGACTTCTTGGGCAGAAACGCTATTGGCTGGTGCTTTGCCAATGACCATCCAGTCAGCAGTGTGCCGGCCGCGAGGCTTTTTATGGGATGTTCGGATAGCGGTCCAACCCTGGTCGGTCAGAAAGTGCTGGAGTTCCTCGCGTTCCCAGTGTATGGGGATTCCGCGGGCATCGAGGTGGAGTTCACGGGTCTTCTCAACGGCATCGTCTTGGGCAGGGACGCCCAGATTGCTGGTGGATGTGCCCTTGCGGAAGAACAGGGGCTGTCTGGCACTGTTAGCCTGGGTATGACTGCGTCGGAAGTAGCCCTCACTGGACTCATGGGCTTGGCGATGGAGCCACTGAATGGGTTTTCGAACACCGGCCGGATCTAATTTGTTCAAGAAGATGCCGTGTGTTCCGGAGAAAGGGAGTAATTTGTCGATGTCAGCGTCTAGCATTGGGACGAAACCCACCAGCATGGTTTCTGCACCATGGACTTGCTTGGTCCAACGTCCTCCGGTCAGCGCTGACGTGGTGACTGAGCTGGGCCAGGTGGCCATGGTAGTGATTATTCGATGAGCATTATCACGGGCTTGGAAGAGGCCGCGATAGGTAGCTGGTGCCGCAATGCGTAGAGTGCCTCGATCGGGCTTTGGTATTGATGTTGAAGAGAACTGTTTGGGGGGCAGGAGCCAAGGGCACGCAGACCATGTGCCCAAGGCTTTTAACCCCACATTTTCGATTTTGAACGGGCGGCCCTTTCGCTGGAGTTTGAAACTGGTGTAGGTCAAGCAAGGTCTCTGCTTTGTAAGCCTGCCCGGTGTGGATGAGTGTCAGTCCCCCAGTGCAACCATAGGTGGGAAAGTAAGTGGCAATTTCAGTGGCCTGGGCGGGATCTTGGACTTCGGTGACATTGGCCGTGATGGGTTTGCCGTCCTTAATCTGTCGGAGGATGTCAGAGGCGTCTCCCAGGATGGGTTTGAGACTCCAGTTGCTGGGCGCGAGGCTTTGTAGAGGTGCTAGTCGTTGAGAAGAACGACCCCACCGAGTACCCGTGGAGCTTGGACCAGGTGTCCATGTAGCCAAAATCTAAGAGCGGCGAAGCAATGATGCCTGTGCGCCCAAGCCTGCTAAACGCAACACAAACATACCTCTTGGGGGAAACGCAACGCAAACATACCTCTTGGGGGGGGCATTTCACATGTATCTTCCAAGTCCTCTTGACACACGCCTTCGAATTGATGACAAACCCAAATGGCAAGCACATGCCAAAGAGGCTATGCACCACATGCCAAGGCCCAGGGTGAGCAAAGTGCTGCCTGGCTAAAGAGCTTTGTCTTCATTGCTTCCGCTGTCTTGCGTGAAGGATATTCGCAACACGAAAACCTGCTAGGAATCGACTACGAGTATATTAAGGCCTTTCTTTGAAGGCATCTCAGTTCAGCCTTTGTTGTCTTCATCAGGCTTCGTGGACCCACTATCGTTGCCAGAAGCATGAACGTGAAATGCAGTCAGTCACTCCTGCCAGAATTTTCTGCTGCCGCTGGTCGCTCTCATCCATGTTAATGTAGGAGTAGACATCCAAAGCACTCCCTTGCACAGCGGGGCAGCTACAAAGCTCTTACTGTAATTCATAGAAAACCCGGCGCTGCCGCAACGTCTTGTGTATTTCTTGCTACAGGGAGGAACACCGATCGACTTGTTTCGTGTTAGGCGACAAATAACATTCTGAATGCTTGGGCAAGATAGTTTGGAGCGGGGTCAAAACATAAAAATCAATGAAATAGAGATAGTTACAAAGGGTTTTCACACAAGAAATCAAATAGGGGTCGAAACGAACCACGTGAAAGGAATTTGACCGTTTTTAAAGGAATTTATCCAATCACTTTTGGCCATTCTGAGCACACGCAGGCCTTCACAGTTTGAATGGCACAATCGTGTTTGCAAGGTCGCGCGTAGGCACAAATCTACGCGCCCAAAGACCAAATGACACAGAACACGTTGTTCCCGACCCTCAAGCAATGCCGCTGATCACCTCCTGCTAAGCGTCTCCTCTTTGAAAGCCACATATTGAGAAAAAACATGTTCAACGCTGTCTCAGCATGACCTCAACATCTCGGTTCCAACACACGGTCTTTGGGCACGTTAAAGCAACTCGTACGGAGGCCTAGGGCAAGCCTTGAACTAGTGCACCAAAAAAGCGTTGTTGCAAAACAGCTAAGCATTGATCTTTACAAGGTAGCAAGGTTGGGAAACAGTCCACAAGCAACCAGCACTATCATTGACAGAGCAGCACAAGCGCTGGTAACAACAGCGATTGCAAGAGCGGTGGTCCGAACAACAAAGGACTGTTTGACATGGCGGGAGGACACTGACACCAGCGCCGCATCAAACCACGATGGCAACTATCCAACATAAGTACAAAGTAGCGGTCGCGCCATGAAGTGTACAAAGTCCAACCATTCGCAAACACCTTTGCGTTGGCAAATTTACGCAATGAGACTATATAAGGGGCTACAACATCTGCAACCTACAGCTGCAAGCAGGGGTCAACCCAACATAGAACGATACAACTAGCGCGACTAAGACTGACTAACAACCACGCAGAATACGACAGAGCCGAAGAGACAAACACAAACGTCACAAGCAGCGGCACAGCACAAGTAATGGATATTCCAAGCTCGACACGCTCTCAAATTGGGAGTAAGTCTGAGTCTTCGCTCTGCTCCGCTTTTGTCCTCCGTTTGGATTGAGTCTTGCCCTCAGTGGTCAAGAGCGGAAGTTTCTCTTCTCGCCCACTGAGCGTGATGGGCGCAGAGAACTCGTTGCGCCACTCTCACACCCAGGGACCCGAGACCTTTCCGCCCAACGGTGTGTCGGTGGTGCCAGGTTTCCCTGTGGTGTGTTGGCGGTGACCACTAAGACTACGGAGGCGGGGCCGCAGCACTCGCACCAAGAAAAGTAAAAATGGGTGAGACCGTGGAAGGAAAACGAGGCTGTACCTGTGAGGACCTGGCGGTTGCGAAGACTCTCACCCCAAGTATGAAGCGCTACCGGGGCAGCCAACAACTCCAACTGACCCATATATAGGCCTGCTTTGGGATCCAAGCGGGCAGAGGGGGAGGTTCAGGGAGGTTGAAGATTCTTCCTGCTTTGCCACCCCCCTCTGCCTCCTCTCCATAGGGTATGTTGGAGAAAAAAGCAGAGGATGGGTCACAAGCTTGACCAGAAATGGCACGCGTGTCGGCCGTTCTAGAACAGCAATTTTAGTACTTCCACAAGTTACAGCACAAGTCATGTATGTCACCCGGAGAAACATACATACCTCAAGACGCAAGGTGTGCGATTCCTATATAGTGCGTTTTAAGTAGCCGTCGTGGATCAACGTGGTCTTCTTCCACGTCGACCCGTGTTTTGGTCATAGATGCCACACTTGCATCAACTAAGGGACGATGTTAAGAGACAGCTTTTCAACACCGTTTTAGCAGCAGGGACATTCCTCAACACCTTCGCTCCAACATAGCCTTGAGAAGGCTAGGGCAACTTGTACAGAAGCCTTGAGCAAGCCATGAGCGAGTACATCAACAGGCAGAAAAAGCGCGTGTTGCACTAAGCAAAGCTTGGGAATACACATGGTCATAGTCTGGTGTTAAACTGCAATGCCAGTTGCGAGGAACATACCGAGCGTAAAGAGATATGAATCACTGAATCACAAAAAGTGAAGCGAAACAGGTGAGAAAGTTGACTGGTGAGGTGGGGAACTTTAAACACCTTAGTCTTCATAAGATCAAATAAGAGGACCAGGATTGACCAGGTGAGTGAAGATGGCGTCGGTGAGACAAGACCTACAGTGACCTACAGGGTAAGATGAGATGTCAGGGCTTGGAACAGGAGGCATTGAACACACAAATAGAATATGTCATATACAATGTAGGATCGATGCGACAATCTGCAAACCAGACTTGGTGGTTGCTAAAATGGCCAGCAGGATACCAACGGGGATGCGAAAAGTCCTTACCCCACTCTGTTCCAAAGATTCAATTTCCAGGTGCTTGCATATCATCACTGATATAGGAGCAAGGCCTGGTTGTAGAGCGACCAGCAGCAAGTAGATGCCAGTGCCTCAAAACAAGAAAAAGAGAGGTAAGCTCTTGGTTTGGGTTTGACCCAGTTTGATGGCTTCATCTCAGGACCAGGCCAAGTGGCAGGAATGTGATGAGGTTGAAGGTGGCGTTTACCACGGTTTTCGCATCAAGAAAAAGTCCAACAATGTACAAATACCTCCATAAAGTGAGAGGATCTGGCATTCAAAATGAAGGCTTCGACAGTGTTCAATCTCTTCAGGCCAGTCGACCTGTATGTGTTCTGACAAAAATAGTCAAATTGTTGTCTTTGAGTCGTTTCGCGGCGCACCCGATCAGGGTAGCTAGAATGGCAGCTGCAAGAAAAATGTACCAATTCCCGTAAATTGTGCTCATGAACCTGCCAGACATCCCGCGTTTGTCAGCAATGTTTGTCCGTTGAAAGACATCAGAAGTGCATAAGCCAAAAAGCACAAGCGGCCAGTCCAAGTCAAATACTAGGCGTCGTGTTAAGTCACTCGAGCTCGTGAAAAGTCACCCGGCCCATCCCCCATGGGGACACCACAATCGCATGAAGCCACTCACAGGCTCAGGAGTGAGAAGTCGCTCGCTTTGTATCCAGTCCAACCGAGGACACCATCTCCAACTATAGAACCATTCTCCAAAAGTGTCACTCCAAGCAGAAAGCGTGCAGTACATCATTAGGTTGAGAACACCATGGGACCGACTTGAAGTACTTGGCCAAAAACTGACACTCCCAGTCCTTCCATCAAGCTGAGCGCGAGCTAGCAACAAATGGCACACCAGCAAGTTGCAAGCAAGCCCTGCACGCAAGCCCCACGCGAGCCAAGACCCAGCAAACCCACTACAAGTCAGACATATCTTACAGCACTCGCAGGGTTGTGCAACGATCCCTGCCGCAAAGATTTTTTTGTATCACATTGAATGATCACTCTGTATGGCAAATCTCCCCGTGTCTTGGGGGTCAAGTTCAAAACAGCTGCGGCAGTTATCTTCATTTCCAAGCTGGAGGCTTGAGGGCTCGAGACTAGCCTGTAGCTTCAGGAATCGCCTCCTGCCCCAGAGGTCTCTGTACAACGCTTTTTGATCCTCGTTAATATCCCTTCTAAAATGGTGGGCCTTGAGGCCACTATAGAGCGATCATTTTGTAGAGAACTCATGTGTTATGTTCTTACAAAATGGCACCCCTTTTTACGTTCCACGTCTGTTTGTAAAGGGTTCTTGTAAAGGGTGTTGTTTAGGTTCAACCAATACCAGCCAGTTTGTAGAAAAAATGACGTCAAGGCCCAGCAATTAGTAGTATGTTTTCCGAGTTGACCATGCCATTGTGTAATTTTGTTTTTTTAAGTTGAAGATCTCATTTTGTACAGATTTTTTGGGCTATATGAGTCGCGTCTTGCACGGCATTTTGTAGAGAATGTATTGCATGTTGTAGAGATGTTTGGGCTATATGACTCAAATCCGAAGAGCATTTTGTGGAGATTTTTTGGGTTATATGAGTCGAGTGTGGAAGAAGCATTTGCCAAGGGCAAGCAAGCCGAAAAAAACGTCATCCAAGGTGGATCATTTCCCACATACGATGGCACAAGGTCGTGGGTCACAGGATGGCGACCTCAAGGCCCGTTTGAAAGTCTATATAAAACGAAGTGCAACCTGCACCTCAATATAAGTTCTCCACTTGGACACCGTTGACGGCACGACTTCTCGCAAGCATGCATGACTTAACGCGAGGGCCCAGTGCATTCGTATCCCCATTGACATTTGCATGGTGGGGTTGTGTCGGCCATTTTATAGATATAATTTGATGGGTACCACCAAAATCACTATAAAATGAAGAAGGATCAGGAAAAAAGGGCCTCTATAAATTGTATGAAGGTCTGAGCAAGTAGGTCGACCAACATGTTAACAAGTAAGATAAAGTGCCGGAAAAAGCTCTCTATAAAATGATTGTTACTCAATTTTGGATATGTTAACAAAAATTTAAAAGTCAATGAAACATTTTATAGATGAGAAATTTGTTTTTCATTGAGAGGACTGAAAAATCAAAGAATCATTTTATAGATATGTTTTTGCTGGACTTCAAAAAACAGAAAACATTTTATAGAGAGCTAAAAAAGAGCGTTCATCGTACTTATCCACACCTGGTCCATTTTATAGAGAGCCAACAAAAAGCATTACAAGTAACTGTCGTCACCTGTACGGTTCTGTAGAGAGCCGCTCGTGCCTTGTAGTCCCCTTGACCATTTTATAGAGGCCACAAACATTCACTTGTACCTAGTTGTGTACATGATCATTTTATAGAGAAATTAAAAGGATTTAAAGGGATTGAAAAGGATCAAAAGGATTCAAAAGGACCGAAAAGGATCGAAAAGGACTCTATAAAGATCTATAAAGTGCGTGTGATTCTATGAAAGTAGGATACGCATGGATACGCAAGTAAGAGACACGCACCAGCAGCAAAGCTACACCGTTTACTCGCGTTCACTTGCCGCTATTTCTCCACTTGATCGCATCCGTTTGTCTTTGATTGGCGCGCAATCATGTTGATTGCCTCGCTTTGCGTTGCCCATGCGAAAGCGAACCACTGAGCTGCGATTGAGCTGCCCCGCTTTTGCACCACATGAATCCACATGATCCACAGGTAACGGCTTTCTATGTTCCGTTCTACATCGTTCATCGTTGTATACATATATAAATACTAATGAAACCAAAACAATCCAAAACAATATATATATATAATCCATTATAACCCATACATGCCAATAAAATCCAATATACCACCATAGAAATTCATAGAACACCATAGAAATCCATAGAACAATATAGAACACCTTGTTTGCTCACGTAGTGCACCGTGATCCTACCTTTTCTTTGCAGTTTTTGCAAAATCTAAATGCATCTAAATGCGTCAACCTACAAGCATCTAATTTATGAACCTCCGCCGTGGGACGTGCTGCTGATGAAGTCTGCGATCTCTTTCAGGATCAACAGAAAGCTCTGCCGCTTTGGAGGATCCCCCTTCAAAGTCCTCTCAGCACTGTCAAACATCTTCGCGACAGCGCGAGAGTAGACTGCAGGCGTGCGCAGCTGCAGAAACCTTACACAACACAAATATACACAAATCACAATGAAATGTTGAGTCCACTATAGAATGAACAGGTATTGAAAACCAGTGAAAATCTGTATATATATTATCTATAAACATCTACTGTATCTACTATATACATCTATATAATGCCCAGGACACATCAGGACACTATAAAATGAATTGACATGAAATAAAATAGATTAAAATGATTGGTAAAGAGGCAAGGCACAAACCTTCAAAGGCTGTTGCAGCCGAATTGAGCATCTCTTGTCTCGTGATGCCCTCAGCAACTTGGTACTTCATCCGGCAAGCGCCATCCAGTGAGAAAGCTGGATTGGATGAAAATTGCTTTGAGTCGAGCATGATCAGCTGCTCAAGCCTGCTCTGAATTGCCTCCCGGCCCTTCTTGGAACGAGTAAATGGATGCTCAGGTGCCTTCTTTCCTTCGGTCACCTCGGCCCCTTCTGCCTGGAGCTCCTTTCGCAGCACTTGCACTGGAGTCTCTTTTGCCTTCTTGGGAACCTTCGCTGGCACATCGCCATCGATCTTTCTCTTAGAGGCTGCCTTTGCCCCAGCCTTCGCCTTCGCATTGGCCTGCTTGGTTCCCTTTGCTCCCCTGGTCATTGTCGCCGCCACCGCCCAGGAAGGAAGAGATTCTGCTTTGGCCAATGCGTCCGTGGAAGCGCTGGACAAGATCACTTTCATGTCCCCTTCATGGTGCTCTGGCGGCTCACCTCAGTGCGCAATAGGAAACATATGGAAACATAGTGAACAATCTTGAGCACAACGTGGGCTATAAAATGAAGGGCCATCTGTGTTCTGAAAGTTCTGTCATCTACAAATTGCAAGTGGTTCATGAATATTCAATTGAAAGTCTTTATATGTCTTTATGATACTCTAATATGCTCTAATAAATTTTAGTAATATCTAATACGGGTCACGGAAAAGTCTGCTGAAACCTGCAAACCATGCTGAACCCAAATGCTTCTCAGGCACAGGCTTCGCAGTCAAGAATTGAGATCAAGGCCTCTATGCGGACCACCCATGCCAGACTCTTGGCATTGCAGTACCACTCGGTGATTGCATCGCTGTCAGGCTTCTTGTCCAGGACCACTGCGCGAAAAGCACTGCAATTGTCAATCCTCGTCTCCGACGAATGCAACTTCGGCATGCGGACACCCTTCCAGCAGCTCAGCACAAGGCCAAGTTCAACGTGGCTGGATGCGCTGGGTGTGTGGAACAGTACGACATTTCCAGGCCTCAGCACCAAACATAACCTCCTGATACCTCCTGGAAGTTTCCTGACTATAAAATGACAGTGTCGCAGGTTTGTTAAAAGAAGTCCACTACAAAATAAGAGGGTATGATCTTTAAACAATATACATAAACATGTACTGCATATTAAAAATTACATAAACATACATAAACAATCATAAACATTCATAAACACGCAATCCAGATCAATCCAGTTGAAACAAGTTGCATGATCCGCTCCGGTGCGTTTTCCGGCAAATCCAGGTGCTTTTGAGCGTTCCGGACCATCTCCTTCCACTTCTCAAGCCGCGATGTCCTGGCTCGGTACTCTCCATCGTCTTTCTCCCAATTCTGTTCCGCGATCTTCCGGTTGTTGTACCTAGGTTAAAAAGTCAATAGCAACAACAACATATGTATATAGACCTTTCATGCCTGTTCATTCTATAGAAAACTTATGTAACCATAATTTCTATCCTCGTTCAATATATATATATATATATCCTCTATAAAATGAAGGGGCACTGAAAGGACTAACTTTCAAACCAGTAGCTGATACCAGTTCAGCTTTTTTGAAGCTCGGCGGCAGCTCCGTGCATTCTTCACAAAAAGCGTATCCATACCGCCCCGTGCACTCCGCAGCCGGACAATGTGCCTGAATAGACAGTTGAACCAATCACCTGGCATCTTCAGGGCCTCTCTGAGGGTGCTGGGAAGATAGTCTGCGCTTTCGCTGGGGATCTTTCTCGAGCTCTTTGACAGCTCAGAGCCGAATGCTTCGGCGACACTTGCCAGCTTGATCAGATATTGCAGCAACTCACCATCAGGCAAGTTCTCCAGATTGTCTGGTCTCACGTGCTCTCTTTCCTCCCTATCCTCGGCCACATCCAGGTCCTCCTCAGCCGTGCAAGTCTTGACAAAGTTTGCCTCCTGCTGGAGTTGTTCCAGAACATCCTGGCAGCTTTCTTGCTCTCCGGTCGGCAAACATGCAGCTTCCTCCACCTCCTCAGGCGGCACCTCATAGTCCACTTCACTTGGAG